TTTGTTCAGAACTTAGCAGAGCATAGACAGACAGTGGGGAGAATATTTAAAGCACATCAGCTCTCCTATAGAAAAGGGAAGTGTCTGTTACACTTTCCTAATTTTACATGTTTCCAAGGAGACAAACTTAATAGAAAAAAATGCATGTTATATGCACATGAAAAATAAAAGTAGACAAAAAGATAAATAAGTACTGAGACTTCATCTCATAATGAATTTTCCTATTCTCATGAATGAAATCAGTGTCACCAAAGTACCTCAGCACTGTGAAATCCAGTATGGGCACTGGCCTCTCAGAGTTACTCATCACCAAAGCTATCTATATTTCAACAGGACAGGCAAATAAGGTCTCCTACTGATGAAAATCAGGCCAGCCATGACCCTGCAGCTCCACAGAGGAGCCCACCCCCAGATGCCTAGCTGTTCCCATTCGGTGATCAGGACGGAACACAGACAGTGCAACATGGAGTTTGCAATGTGTTGTTTTTTCCTGTTTCCAGCTTTGAGTGGTAAATTATTTGTTTCAAAAGATACTGAAGGCATGACTGGACATGAGCGGGATAAACAGTGGACACTGTGACAGTTTCTTGAGCAGGATGTCTCGGTATGCAGGTGTCCAGTGTGAGGAGAAGCTGGTGTCGTGTGAGGGAGGCTTGGTGCCACGTGGGATTTCCCTGAGATTCCCCTGTGTGGCCTCAGGATTCACCTTCAATAGCTATGGCATGCACTGGATTCTCCAGGCTCCAGGGAAGGGGCTGGAGTGGGTCACAGACATTAATTATCATGGTAGTAACACATACTATGTGGATTCCGTCAAGGGCCAATTCACCAACTTCAGAAACAATGGCAAGAACAAGCTGTACCTGCAAATGAACAGCCTGAGAACTGAGGACACAGCCCTCTATGACTCTGCAAGAGACACAGTGAGGAGATATCAATGAGCCCAGACACAAACCTCCCCTCAGGGGTGCTCGAGCTCAGCAGGGGTCACTGTGGTCCTTGGAGGACCAGGCAGGTGCCCAGGAGCAGGTGCAGAGAAGGAAGCAGTGGAGTGAGGCCTTCCTGTTGGCCTCTGGGGTTTCCCTTCTGTATGAACATCACATGACCTGAGCAGACCCTGCAATGCATGAGCTGCAAAAGACTTATGAAGTATCCAAATTCAAAACATTCTCTGTCAAATTTGCTATTATAAGTACTTATTGAAGGATTGACTTTTTTCATCACCTATATATGAATTTCACTTGACGGATAAACATGACTTGTACCCATTTGGAACTAACTTGTAAATTTTTTGAACTT